GCCCCTGCAGACGCTCTGCTCCTGGCTGTTGGCGGCCGGCGCTGGGGTGGGGGCCGTGCCTGGCCTGCGGGCCCTGCAGGAGGCACTGGTGGCCACGGGCGACAAGCCTCCTGCCTTCGCCGGCTCCCGGGACTGGGTGGGCACTGTGGAGGCGACCATATGCCTGGACCATCTCCTGGGCGTGCCATGCAAGCTTGTGCACATCCATGAGGGTCGGGGGCTGGCGGCGCACGTGGGGGCCTTGCACGCTCACTTCCGGGGGGGTGGAGGCCCTGTGATGATGGGGGGCGGCACGGATCACGGTGCCAAGGGCGTCCTGGGGGTCTGCTCAGAACCCCCCACCCACTACCTCCTGGTGCTGGACCCGCACTACTGGGGGGGCCCTGGCAGCCTCACGAGGGCGGGGGCACAGACCATGGGCTGGGTGGGCTGGTGGGAGCTAGGCAGCTTTGAGCCGGACTCCTTCTACAATCTCTGCCTGCCGCAGCTTCGCCTGGGCCGGGCCTCATGACGCGCAGAGGGCCCTCATGTGAGGGGGTAGCGCACCGGGACTCCCTTGTGCCTGGCGCAGGCAGAGAAGGGTCAGTAAAGGAAGGGTTCAAAGTGCTTGGGCTGCTCCGCTTTGTCTGTTCAGGGTTGGGGGCGGGGCCAGGCCGGGCCCTGCCCTGGTTCTCTCCCTCTGCTCAGGCAAGGAATTGCGGGGTCCGTGATGACGTCAGGAAGCCCCAGGGTGAAGGTGAGGTCATGCTCACCCCCACCGTTTCCCCTCTACAGCCTGATGCCAGGAAGTTTGGCAGTGACGTCACAGCTGACGTCGTAGGGGTGGAGAGAGATCGTAAACCTGGAGATGGGTATAATACCATGCCAGTCTATCACGAGATGTGCATGCGCACACAACGACGGATCACGTGACCGAAGTGTTTTGCCACCGCCCCCCCAGTCACGCAGGCGCAGTGGCGCCACTGAGGCGCCATGCCGACAAGTATCTCGGGACTTCGCCTCCGTCACGTGGCGTCCCTCGTCGCCACTCTGCCTCCTACCTCACGTGGCCTCCCCGCCCCCGTCACGTGACGCGTATCTCCCCGCCCCC